AAAAAAAAAAAAAAAAAAGAACCACAGCTCTCACCCAAAGAGCCAGCCTCCTTCCCAAGACCCAGACACACCACATGTTCACCCAGACCCACCTTCTGGGCCTGCGCAATTTCAGAGTGAGTTGAAGATTAATCAATGCAAACTTGACTACAGTCACTGAATCTTTGTGCTACTCGCTATGAGTGGTAAGAAAAGTAAGGGTAGCCGGGCTCGGTGGCTCAGCCTGTAATCCCAGCACTTTGGGAGGCTGAGGTGAGTGAATTGCCTGAACCCGTGGGTTCGAGACCCGCCTGAGCAACTTGGTGAGACCTCATCTCTACAATAAATCAAAAAATCAGCCGGGCATGGTAGTGCGCGCCTGTAGTTCCAACTACGCGGAAGGCTGAGGTGGAAGGATCACCGGAGCCCAGCAGGTCGAGGCTGCGGTGGCCGGGAGCGGCCACTGCACTCCAGTCTGGGCGACAGAGTGAGACTCCAACTCAAAAAAAAAAAAAAAGAAAGAAAAGTAAGGGTCACAGTTCTATCTACAGATCCCCCCCAAGTCTTGTGTTTCTATTAGGCTTGAGGACAACTGATTTCAATCAGCAAATACATCAAAATTGCTCACAGTCTCCCTTTGACCTATAGTATATTGTTAATGCTGTTAAAAATGTTCAACTTCTAATTAATTTTGGAAGCATTTTTAACTGATCCTAAATTTGCAACCCATGTATTATTATAGCTGTCTAGGTGGAGGGCATTTGTTTTTAAAGTAATTGTTCTTTCTCCTCATGCCAAAGAAGTTTATAAATTTTAGGAAATAAATCTATAAATTTTAGGAAATATAATTAACTGAAAAGAAGGAAAAAATTTATCCATTCTTTCTTCACCTAAGATAACTACAGAGAATATATTCGGCCTGTTTTTGTTATCCAGATTTTTTATAAATATGTGATAAAGCTAGGCATAGTTTAGTAAGTGCTGTGTCAGTGAGTGATACTTTAGCAGTAACATTTTAATGGCCTCTGCAGTGTCATTTCAATGGCTACATAATATGTTCGAAGGGGGACCCAAAAAAAGGGGGTTATTTATAAAAAATTGTATATATATTCTTACTCATTGAAACTCCAGTCACCTTCATTTGATGCAATACATCTATCGAGATGCTTTTTTCACTGCCCAAAACAGTTTTTGAACTAATCAATTTTGATGCCTTTTAGTACTTCTGCCATTTTTTTGTTTCACCTCCTCCATATCAGCAAAATGTTTCTCTTTGAGGACTTTTTTCATCCGGGGAAACAAAAAAAAGTCGATTGGGGTGAGATCAGGTAAATAGGAAGGGTGGGGTACTGGGATCATGCTACTTTTGGTCAAAAACTGCTGAACACTCAGCGCGATATGGGCAGGTTTATTCACATATCATCCTTCATGAAATGGGCAAATGTGTTGAAAGATTCTCAAAAAAAATTCACTGAAGCCAAACAAAGCCTCTCACAACAACGCTAGCTGGTACAGTGATGCTGATGGGTTCCTAGAACACTTACCTAGAGGGGAAAGCCTGTACTACAAGAGGCCTGCCCTCCAAAAATTAATTCCGGGTTTTGGGGTGGTCCCCCATCATATGTACCCATGGATCTCCGCTAGGGCATGAATGGCACTTTATATAGTTGTACCATAAAGTGTACTATAAACCCCCAAAGGCTGGACATTTAAGTCATCTCCAATTTTTTTTTTTTTTTGCTAATTGCAAATAGTGTTTGAAACTAAATCTTGGCCCCGTGACCCAGACAAAGGCTTTGGGGACCCAAGTCTCATGCCCCTTCCTAGCTGACTGGCCCCCAGCTTCCTTGCACTTTTAACACAGTCTCCTTCTTATTCACAACCCGACAGTAATCTTTTACCACCAGCTCTGCTCCCTGACCTACCTCCATCCCACCAGGGTCACTGGACTTGACATCCAGCAATCTGCAGACTCATGAGTGAATGTGGGGTTCCATTAGTACTTTTTAAGTCCTTTGGAGAATGGTTTGCAGACCTCCAGTGTAACTGACATAGGCAAGTCATTCTACCTGCCTACCCTGTCCCTACCCCACTCACTCACATATCTGGGCCTCTCCTGATAGACAAATGGTAGAACTTTGACTTAAGAACAATTCATCTATACATAAGGACAATTCATCTATACGTAAGGAAGCTACTCTTTCAAAATTGCAACTGTAAAAAAAGCCTACAGTCAGCTGGTGGAAGATTCTGGAGTTAAAGAAAAGGTCGTGGTGACACCATGTCAAGATCAAGATCAAGTGACAGGGCCATCGAAGCCCTGCAGACAGAGAGGAAGCAGGCCTATGAAGAGAGCAGGACAGAGACCCAGAGACAGACAGGAAACCATGCAAACCCAGAGACAGCAGGTGTGTGGTGACACTAGCAGCCAGGAGGCTCGTCTGCACTTGTTTATTCCTGCACACACTCCCAACTCCCTTCCACTTGAGAGGGTTCCTCTGTTCTTGCAACCAAATTGTCCCATCTAAAACAATCTCTCTCAGGCCCTGAGGTTGCAGCAATCTTGGTCGGGAAAATCGGGTCAGTAAGAGCAGGACATTTTTCCAGCTCTGTACAACACAACAATTCTATGCAAACTAGAGGCCTAATTCTGAGGGCAGGAACTGAAAATGACCCAGCCTGTCGGGGGCAGGAAAGAAAACAGTTAACATAGAACTCGACTTCTTCACTTGTAGAAGAGTTTAGTTTAAAGGGGATATGGGGCCTCAGTTGACTCCTGCTACTGAACTGTGAGACTAGGGGGTTCTCCTATGATCCAGTGGTGGCTTTGTGGCAGGGCTTGGGTCATCCATGTGGCTGCTCAAAAGACTTTTTCCCCCCATGACTGTGGCTGGATTTTTTTTTTAATTGGAGTCTCCTTCTTTTGCCCAGGCTGGAGTACAGTGGCTCAATCACGGCTCAATCTCCTGGGCTCAGTCAATTCTTCCACTTCAGCCTCTCGAGTAGCTGGGACTACAGGCGCACGCCACCATGCCCAGCTAATTTTCTGATTTTTGTAGAGACAAGGTCTCGCTGTGTTGCCCAGGCTGGTCTCAAACCCCTGAACTCAGGCAATCCTCCTGCCTCTTTCTCCCAAAGTGCGGGAATGACAGGCGTGAGACATTGCACCAGGTTTGTGGCTGAATTTTTGCTGGATAAGGCTACTGGATAAGATCATCCGGGATTGCTAAAGTGTAGCTGGATGATTATTCTACCCTAAATTCTAAAGCTTCTTCTATGAAGCCGATTATACAGACTCCTCCTATCACTGTCCTCAGGGTTGAACATTGAGTTGAACATAGGATCTCCAACCTATCTACTCATGTACCTCCTTACACTTTCAATACAGTCTTCTTTTCATTCACAGTAATCTTTTACCACCAGCTCTGCTCCCTGACCCACCTCCTATCCCACTAGGGCTTGACATTCAGATCTAGTTTCCTACTTTTCTCCTGAGACCCAGTCAGTCAAGACTGTACTCAACTCTATCTTTGTACTTAGGGTCTGTTCTCTGCTTTACCCCTCAGGGAAGTTCTCACTGCACTCTCCCTCCAAATTACAGTTCCTTACGGCAACTCGGCCTTCTTTCTCCTCTACCCTGAGACCAAGAAGCTTCCACATGACACAGAAGATAATTCTGTAGAGACAGCAGCTAAATTAGAGACTGCCTTGGCCTTGCCAACACCATCTTGCCTCCAGCAAGTGCTTCCTTCAAGAAAGTGTACACTCTGTACTGAACACAGACCCAGAACCAGGATTTGGAGAGCCCACCAAGAACCAGGAACCCAAAGAAGCTCAGAACCTGAGCGAAGAATTTCATGGCATAGTCCCTCAAAGCAGGACTATTGCTCAAGGGTTCTCTGTTGAGTCAGAGGGTTAGCCTGTCACAGGACTAAGGATCTGGCCCCAGGTCCCTGGTTTCAAGAAGCAATCCTCACCAGGCACACAGAAACCTCAGAATAAGATAACCCTGTTAATCCCGGATCCATTATTCCGCATTATCTGGGATGTGAGTGACTGTTCTATTGTATTTGGACATGGAAGCTAAATTAGCTAAGAGCTTTTATTGATCCCTGTGCATAAAACATTCCAAGATCTGGGTCTCTGCAAATCTGCTGAGCACTGCAGTCAAATCAGAAAACACCACACTCAAAATACAAACGAACTGCTAAAATCAGGGGACTTTCCAGGTTATTTCTACTCCCCCCACCCCACCCCACGACCACTCTTCTTCTGCCAGGGCTCATACCTCTTCTTGATGGTTCAAATGGGTAATCCAGACCCAGCATCGCGGGGCTCCTGCCCTAGACCAAGTGTTAACCACAAGTATTCCTTTATTTTTTCTTAATTTTTTTTAGTAATTATTATGTGCCAGGCACTTTATGTACTAAATTATTCATTTACTCCTCACACAATCTTATCACACAAGGAATGTTTTCTCCATTTTCAGATGAGGTAACAAGAGCTTTAGTAACTAGCTCAGGCACAAAGCAGGTAAGTGACTAAGCCAGAATTTCACACACCCCTACCTCCCAGAGGCCTTT